TATGAAAACACTCTTATTCTATCCACTTGTTCTCTGTGTGCTGCTGTGAAGTGTGGCAGCTTGAGCCGACCGACCCGTGTGAAAGGTTCTATGTTGATTTTCTCTGTCAGTCAGTCATATATCAAGCAAAACAGACAGTTTTAAATGAAAACGTTAAAGTAAATTTGATAAGAAATAAATTAACTAGGTGTGAGCGACACAATGACTGAGTTTGAAATGAATCACAGATTAGCTAAGACTCGAATCTGTGATCTTTGGATCAATGGTACACCTTATTCACCAACCATTACTCATGTAGAATGACTTAACTATATGTTAATTTCACTCCATAGTCACTAGATGGTAGTGTATTAAGTCCGTTGAGTGAGCATAAAACAGATTAGTACTGTGAAGTTATGGCTCATTGGTTTCGGAAGTTGACTTTTAACCACTAGTGCATCATGGGTTCGAGCCTCACCCCTTACTGACCTTCGGGCACCCACGTAGAATTTCTACTAGCCCTCATACAATAGGTGTGGCTTGCTGTCTACTATATGAATGTCCAAATGCTTGGTGAATGGATTTCGATTTAACACAACCAATGGTTTTTCAGCTGTGACTGAAGAAATCCGAAATACAAAGAGAGGTAGGTTATCAAATTGAAAACGGATAATAGCTTTTTGTGTCAGTAGATGTCAATCATATTGTCAAAAAGGCAGAATGAAACATCATGATAAATTCAAGTTAAGCATTTAAAAAATCTCTCATACATGAGATAAAATAACACACACCGATATAATATAATTATAAAAAGTTGAGAATGGATTTATCCAGGTAATGTAAAGTTAGTAATTAGCTTTTTTTATACAGTACAAGTATACTACAAAACTGTATGTCCAAATAACGTTACCACTCTACGAGCATAACCACTTTGCATTCATATAACTATTTTTGACAGTTAAAAATGATGGATAGATGTGAACTACTCAATCCTTAGTTGAAAAGTGACTGAATTAGAAAATATGGAACTAAGCAAAGCGAACTTGCGGAAGTTGATAAAACGGTAGGTAACCTGAACCGAGGAAGGGGAACAGGACCACATGAACTAGTTCTTGAGGTATATAAGAACGATGATAGAAGGTTTTAAGTTAACTGAAGTGTTAACAAATGTATGAGAGTCGAGTATAATCCCCTCTGACTAATATAAATCATTGATTATCCTAGTCTTCAAGAAAAACAAGAAGTCTTCTTGTGATAATCATAGAGGAATCAGCCTGATGAACATAGTGTCTAACATTATAGGTTCTATAATCATTCAACGCCTGAGTGGAGTTCGGGAACAGTAAGTCCGAGAAAACTAGACAGGCTTCAGACATGGTTATGGGTGTATCGAGTAGATATTCATATTCCGCCAGGTTCTGGAACACAGGCACGCTTACCAACGCCCAACAATAGCTGTATTTCTCGACATGAAGGTGGCATTCGACTCCGTTGATCGAGAAGTCATATGGCAATGTCTCATTGAAAGGGGTACCGAATACACCTTATTGAACGCTGTTTACTCAAACACATGTGGACGTGTTAGAGTCTATGGTAAGATGTCGTTTGAGTTGTGTACGTCGAATTCCGTCCATCAACGATGCCCACTCTTTCCATTCTTATTCAATTTTATTATAGACTTTCTAACGAATGTCTCCCTCTCATCATTCGACTACACAGGGATTGGCCTAATCACAGGAGAATCTTTGGTAGACCTAGAATACGCAGATGACATAGTCATGTTAGGTGAAGACGATGACAAGATGCAGAGTCTTCTGAATAACTTGAGTGGTAGTTTGAGAATGTTTTGGATGCGTATCTCGCCACCCAAATGCAAATTGTTGTTCCAGAACTGGTCTTCAACAGTACTCCGACTAACAACTTACGCTATCTGTGGTGCCGCAGCGACACCCGATTTTTCATGAAGGATCAAGTGTACAGTGCTGCAGTCCGCTCTGTTCAACTCTATGGCTGTAAAACATGGGCTATAAACGTAGAAGAAGAGAGAAGGCTTCAGGTATTTGACCACCGTTGCACACGTAGCACAGGCCGTGTTTGGCGGTGTCACCGCGTGAGTAACGCAGAAGTCAGGCGTACAGTTTTAGGCAGGAGAGGTAAGTCAGTGGACTTTTATCAACTGAGATAGCAGGTTGGGACATGTGTTACGTATGCCTAGTCACCATCTACCTCGTCATAAAATGTTGGCGGAAGTAGGTTCAGACTGGAAAAAGGCCCGGGGCGACCAGACGAAAACATGGCATCAATGCATGAAGACCTTCACTGTTCGTTTAATCCAAGTAGGGCGATGCAGATAAGCAGGTTGGGGTCTGAGGGACAAGAGAAACCATTGGTTTGGGACTCTAGGTGATATGGCTCAGAATCGATGTCAGTGGCGCAGATGCATACACACATTACCCTCACAACAACCGCTATACTTAACCTCATCATGTCATTCTTCCTCCCCTTCTTTTGCTACTTTCCATTTCTACGTCTTTTGACCGATTTCTCTTTTCAGAAATATCATGCGTTTAGTTCCCTTGACAAATTTGAACAATGCAAGAACAAAGACATTTGCAGAATAAAATGGGCTCAATTTATTTCATGGCCTTTCATCAGCTGCAAACAGCCTACAACTGAATGAGTTATTGGTAGTAATAATAACATAATATAACATACTTTAAACACGTAGAAACAAATGGAGATTTGAAATCCAGGATTAACAATAAGGTAATCAGTCAAGGAAACATAGGACTTATAGTTACATATCTTAGTCAAAATCTATGGCTATTTATATCTGATGAGAGGGAAAATTCTGGAGCTGTGGAGTGGGGGGACAACAAACGAAAACCAGTGTAAAAGTGCTAGTAGGTTACGTAATTACACGAAAAACTTGAAGATCGTAAAGTGATTAATATCCAGTAAGTAATTAATGAAGAGATGATGCAATCAAAAAGAAAGGGAAGACTATATACATACATATGCAAAAAATTATATACATTTACCAAGGTAAAGAATATCCTTCTGAGTACATAGGTCAGGTTGAAAATGTTTGATAGCGAGAGCCTCTGCAAACCGTAATAGAAGTGTTCTTCGTTTGTTAATTATCCTGAAAGATTGAGAAGCATCTATTTGATGTCCTGTTTCCATCAGATGCCTGGTGATTGCGCGTTTAAAGACCTTGCTACCATTCAGACATAGATTTCTTGGAATATGCTCATAAAATCGAGTAGACACCCTTCTTTCAGTCCGTCCTATGTACTTGCTTCCACAAGCACAGGTGAATTGATATACCCAGTTAGAAGTGACGTGAAACGGGTATTTGTCTGCTTTCGACTGTGTTACTGAGCATACTGTATTGTAAACTGAGATCAGTCTGGCAGGAGGGAAGCTCCTTCCCAGTGCAGGTTTTATTCTTCTGTCTATTCTTTCAGATGTTTCATCACCGTTGATGAAGGAAAACAGTCTTCTTCTTAACGGTTGGATGTTTCGATCTCTCAATAAACTCTTTTCCATGCTTTATGATGAATTTCTTCGAATATTCATTCTCTATAAGAGCCTTCTCAATTACACCAAATTCTTCTTCTTGTTTATCTTTTTGAGCACAGCTTTTTTAGTCTAGTGAATACCGTCCTGATTAAACCACGCTTATAGCTGACAGGACAAAAGCTATTATAGTGAAGGTACTGACTAATTTACTTCTCTTTTCTGTGGATAGCTTTCTCAACTGTACTATCACATCTCCATCTTAAACTTAGATCCCGAAAATTGGATCTGTCCTCTTATTCATATTCCATCGTAAAATTAATATTTGGGTGAGCTTGATTGAAGGTGTCGAACAACTTTGACGCATGATTCATATCATCACAAACGATGAAAGTATCATCAACATACCTGTAGTAATGTGTCGTTTCCTTGATCGCAATGTCCAGACTTGTTCACCCGAGATGAGCCATGAATATATTAGTTTCAGCTTCCATTTTATTGATTTGTTACTTGATATGCTGATATGAGGTGTGGTAACTTCCTGGTCCTATGTTGATCTTGATGATCATGAAGCGAAAGGTTTGAATGATCGCTTATGTTTTACTTTTAATCCTAATTATAGAGACGCTTACGTGTATGAAGATACCATCTTAGAGTATAGTGAAAACAATTATAAATGCAATAGAAGCTCATTTGTGTCATTACCAGAACATCTACTTGAAAAAAAACAACCCAGTTGATGAGATTATGAAAATGCACCAGGTGAAGTGATCCGGATGTTCTATGCATTTCGAGCTTCCATCGGAATTCTCCCGGTGGACAAACTAACTGCTTTTCTGAGTTGTTGTTTTACAACTAAATAAATACTTTTTCCGCTGAATCCCACGGAGTCCCATAAATACATCTTTGCAAAACCGCAACAGAAATCATATGACGACCTCATCTGATGATAGGAAGTAAGATGGTTGAGTGCGCCAACCGCTTCACCTCATTAGAAAGCTGAATTACCCCTAGTGTATCCGTCACCGACGAAATCTCCGCACGGTGTATAAAAGGCTTGGTTTTCTTTTGCCAGCTTACGCCACATATTGCATCAGTAAGATACCTGATTGCCTATTAAAGTTTAAACGTGCTGCGCAACAGTTTGTTCTGCTGTACCCTGTAGATGTGAAATATGACTACAAAAAATGCCATTATCTTCGTAGCGTTGCTCATATGCGGTGGATCCACCACACTAGTAATTTTACTTTTAGGCACAGAGTCTCCGGTAAGAGGTCAGTCAGTTGAGGTTCTGTATCTTTACCAGGTAAAGTGGTTAGGGCACGCGTTACGTATCCCCACTCACTGAATACCTCACGGTACCATTAAAAAAAAGTAAATTTAGGCTCTTCACAGTTACGAATAAAGAGATAAAATCAATCAGGATACATATTGGTAGTGCTAAAAATATTCTCTAAGAAAAGAAGGACATAAGATGACACTGATCTTCGTTAACTTACCAGATGTTCCAACAGGACCACTACTATTCGCATCAGATCCTTGATCAATCCCTTTTTTACGTTGAGTTTTCGCCAACAAATGTCCAAGCGTGCGTGAAGCTTCAATTCGAGTTGCATAATTAGCTCCATCCAAACATCGAAGGCATAGACTAACAGTTGCTTCTAATTCACTGGTGTGAATTGAATTTGAATGATCAACCAGGAAGTATAAACACTGTAGACGAAGAGAAATAAGGGGGTGAGTAGGTGCATTTAAATGTAGCCGAAAAAAGTTCATCCACACTAAGTAATATTACACAGTCAACTTTAAAACATTTTTCGCTTTATCATAAGAATTGAGTAAGAAAGTAGACACTTAAAATAAATGAATGAACAGTAAACTTGACCGCGATCAGTACCTATATAACACTTTACCACTAAAGTTAAACTGATTTACTAAACCAAGAGAAATTCTGTTACTACTCAGATTGAATTAATAACATCAGTAACCAGACCATGGTTTTTACAAGTTTTCTGGAAAAATGATAGTTGAGTCTGATTTAATCACAATAATAATTTATTTTAATGTAATTCCAGTGTGTCTAGGAAGGAAAAGAAAACGTTTCTGAAGTTTTTCTAGTGCAAGCAACAGCTTCTTAAGCATAGTATTCTCCGATAGACTATAGGAATGTAAACACCATGAGTGAAATTTGTGTGGTTATCTTGCATAATTATAGAGAAAAAACAATCTAGTGTCATCCAGTAAGGAAAGTAGTATAACTACGGCGGAACAAATGGAGGAACTAAAATGTAATAATAATTTATCGCTGCTCAAGTTTTACTCTAATTTCCCATTTAAGGTGCCTTTCGAAAGTTGTGAACAAATATTGCTGGAGAAAACGAATAAAATGACAATGCAAAGATCACTTCATCTAAATATCAACTGATGAAAACTACCAATTAGAATTATTTTGACCCTTCTAAAGAGAAACTAAGTCCAAGAAAAGGTGCATATCTCATACTAATTTGTTTTTTTCCCCACTAGTTCATAGACAGCAATATCAGACAAACAGATAAAAACAAGCACAGGTGCATCGGTTTAACCTGCCACACTTCCCACTAGTACACAAAGAACAAGTAGATAGAAGACTGATATCAAAGAAGACAAAGTTGTGTGAGAGAATGAACAATCTGAATGCAAATGTTAGTTCAAATATTCAAGCTTAGATGTTAAAGAGTGAATAAAACTGAACCATTGTGACTGAGTTCTAGCTATGTCATCAGGAGTTCTCAACCATTGGTTCGCAATGTCTTGAAGACCCCAACCAGCCATGCAGTAGTCTACATCTCATCACACGGCTCATACCAACAGTCAGGGACTTTATACACTGGTTTAACGTCTTGGCGTGGCCACCCTAAACCCTTTTTCAAACAAATTTAGCTTCCCCTAACGTGTCACATCGAAGTAGGCGGTGACTCAGTATGTGCAGCACATGTCCAAACCAGTCATCTCAGTCGACTAGGGTTCACTACCTCGTCAATCGACTTGCCTATCTTGCCTAGTGCCCTTCACCTGACTTCAGCATTGCCCACACGATGATTTCACCGAAAGAGAGCAGTCTTACGAAGGCATATTACATAGATTACTATGTATATCTACAAAGCATGGAGCAAAATTTTTATCTTGACGGAAAACAGCTGAAAATCCTGCTTCATTAGTGGATCATATCCACTGTGAGAAAAATACGCATTGTCATAAAATAAATACTCATCTATTGAATCCACTCACTTTAGCTGCTGCAACACGCACATAAAGTACTCGATCTGTCATACATATCTTCGCTGCTTTGTATATCTCTTTGTGGCATACAGCACTAGCTGAACCGACACCTTCAATTAGATTGCATATTGTATTCATAGTTTCACAGCGAACTTGGGACTCAGACTGCAAAGTGGGAAAGAAAGGATAGTCGGATGAATCATATTTTGAAATATTTAATTAAAAAAGATCAGTTTTATTCGCCATACTTCAAGCATAGGTCCTGCACAACACGCATGCCTAAAAGATTCTCCACACAAAATATCACATTATGAAAATAAAAAAAGAATCACTCCTATGATCGATATTCAGAAAGCTTTCACTACTTTTCGAAGATAAAAGACACCAAAAGATCGCTACAAGCCTTGATTAAAAATAATAAGTTTTCTCAAGGTACGAAGTCCAATGATCTTTCAGACCACTCCGTGAGGCACCAACAAAGCTATCCTTCTCATAACAGCGCTTTTTCGTAAACTGACTACTTATTCACCTCATCTACCCAGTTCTCAAGCCAGTAAACCATGAATAGAACGGATGTCGCTGCGACGATATTCGTAATACGTATCATAACCATAGGTGATTATTGAAAATGAAATTAATCGGTGAATGACATCCTTCATCACATTAAAAAAAGATGGCCAATCTCAGAATTACTTACCTGATTCTTCTACCAGATGCAGTGCTTTCTCCGGGCACAATAGTTGTCGAATGCAGAATTGTAGGGAACCTTGAGTTCCGGATGTCAAGTTTCATATGCAAACCGAAGCATCGCCATTATAAAGCCAGCCAGTCGAAGATAACCTAAGTTAGCGAATGCCAACAGGACTAACTAATATAACTGAAAATCGAACATCACATCCTTCCTAGCACTTAGAACTATAGAAAAACACTATTTTCAACTGTTCATCAACACGAGTGACTGAGTACGGGTTCATGCAAAGGTATTTGGTACCCTGATTGTCATAATCTCATGCAGTTATTGATCACCAAGTGCGGCTAAAATACACTTTATACAATCGCACATTAAAACGACATAGTCTCTATACTCCAGTTGAAGACATTTTCCTCTCTGTAACCCTCATTCAGAACTGTCCGATTGATAAGCTTGACTGCAATGGCAGAAACGAACAGCCGTTTCAACCTACTGCTTTTTTAAACGTGATAAAATCGACATCTTGGATGGAAAGTCAGTGAATTACAACTTCACGAGATATGTGACAGTATAGTCAAAACCATAAGTTCATAACATTTCATGTTTCAGTCTTGACAACAGGATGGCGGAGGCCAGTTCATACAGCGACTTTTGAAGTTGCTTATAAAACGGTCAACAAGATGATTGAAATAACAAGTTAAAATGAATAGGAATACAATCCTTATAATCAGTGATTTACAAAGTTACGCATGTGGCCAACCAAGAGTTATTATTCTCCCTGGATTGTTAAATCTAAGTGTCTGGCAGCATAGCGCTTAAGTTAAAACACGTCCCAAGCCTTAATTATGCGAAAAACTGAAATCAATTTGAGCCTCCAGTTTATAGACGATGTGTCAATGTTGGTGAGCAGTTTCTATTTCTTTATATCAGTTCAAGTATATTATGCATCCGAACAAAATTCATCACTTGGCTAATCTAAACATTTTTTATTATACTGCTTTCTTCAAATAAACACCCACCAGCAGGAATTCCAACAGATATGGAGTGCATTACGATGCGTTATAAATAGAGTGGCAATCGTAAGTCTCGTTGAACATCGGTACTGAATTCAGAACAAATGACAATTTGAATCAAAGATCATTAGACTAATGATTAGCTACTCGCAACAATACTTCCTTTTCGCAAAGTAGGACAATTAACATGTGCGAACGATGTAGCAGACGTGCCTCTAAAAAACATACTTTGATTGACGAATGACGATCCTAGGGTAATTTTTAAAATAGTTTGAGACATCTATTCAAGATTGAGTGCATACTCTAGCATTGAGATTCTGACAAATTTATGAATAGTAGTCATAAGTGAAACTAATGACAAAATTCAGATCACACTGCTATTGGACAAAGAGCGCTTGAAAGCCGATCGTATTACAAGATGCTTCACTCACAACATCAAGCAGGTTTCGATCACTTCGAACGAAAATTTAGTTAATCAGTGGTAAGTAGGTCAACTTCCACGTGCATTATTTTAGACAAGTAATGATCGTATATATTCAGAAATACATTACCTGTTTGATCAGCTTCACCATTATGATAACACTATCTTCAAATGAGCGACCTATCATACGTCCAAGGCGTTTATATATAGCTCCAAGGCAGCTTAGTGCTGCTAGACGACTATTGATACTAGTAGGACCATCATCACGACATTTAAGAAGTCCGTTACATGTGTTGACAGCTGTGTAAAGCAGGAGCGAATCACCTACTAGAAACAGATTTGCAAAACAACGACCCAATAGCTTGTGTGTTGGACGGCCAGGAGCATGTGTTAGGTGGGACAACAGCTGTTGTACCAGATCTTCCTGACATTCCTTGATTACTTGTTTGTTCTCCACCAACAGTCTTTTTTCGAGTGAACACAACCAGTCAAATACATAAACAGGCTTTTTGACTTCAGGAAGTTTCTCATATGTCGCTTCATCAAACAAAAGTGAAGTGCTCATTTCATTAAATATTTCCGTAGGTGCCGCTTTAAACAGACCTACAAGCGACCTTTAAGTACAACATCCAATGCTAGCTTCTATTTGGTACAAGTGGCTCAAATATTTGTTGACGGAATAGAAGAAGCTTTCACTTAACTGAATTTCACGTCTAGAATCCATGGATCCAATATCCAATACTGATAGTGCGAGCTTAGAAAACTGGTAGATTCTGATCACTCGCGTCTAGTTCTTATGGTTTGGTTCGAGTTGTTCATTTCACCCGTGCAGTGGACAAGTAAATCCCCTCTGCCTTCTTTCTTTTAGCCCCGGTGTTTTGGATGTTTTATAGGTTAGTAAGCTGTAATTTGTAGAGTGCTTGAGGAGTTATGGGTTGCTGGGACGGTTAGGCGACTGCCGTGACCCCTGTCTGTGCAGGATGGGAATAATTAGGTACTGGTAAAAAGAAAAGAATAAAAGAATAAAAAAGAAGAAGAAAAACATGTTTGGTGAGAAGGGAGGTCTGGTTGTGTTTCTTAGAGGGATGAGCGCTTCTGTGGTTGGGTATAGCCTCGCCAGTCCTCATAGGACTGGCATTGTTCCGTTTTTTGTGTTTTGTTCTTAACTTGGGTGGGGGCTGTGGCAGTGGTGGCTTCTTTACTTGATGTATCTAACTCACTGGTCAGCGCCTGTGTGACGACCACTGACTCCAGAGGTCTTGGTGGTTGCCGTCTCTCCTCTTGCCTTGTGGGTCTAGGCTTACTTTCACATATACGTATTGAGCCACCCATGCGATCTTTCGCATTATACCATGCGTGTAGAACGTCTGTGAGGGAGGCATATGAGTCGAACTGGACGGCGATAGTCTGGGATTGGGTATGGTCTTCAGGTGCGCTGGCCTTGGCAGTCTACTGACGCTGTTGGCCGGTATACTGTTGAGACCAACTTTGGTTGAGAGCCATTGCCATTGTTGGACGTCGTGAAAGTACCGATCTTTGACCGAGCGGTCACTTGGCAATTCTGGAATCCCATGTACAACTATAGTGTTGTTTCTGTTGGGATTTCCAACCGCTGACTTTCTCTCCTCCTCTCTTATTGACCATGGCTTGTCAGGCCTGGCCCGAATTTTACAGGCATTAACAACGTCCGGTTGTCGCGAGAGGAGGAGTGTGTCTTCAGCCTCTTTGGCGGTATTTAGGGACACACGTAAAGGGGGTGGCTTATCTCGGGGTGCACGGCTTCCTCGAGAAAGGCGACATAAAGTTGCAGGGAGGGGAGGGAGTCCCAGCATCTGACAGTAGTCGGTCCACATTCGGCTGTCAAACCGTTCCCTCTCGACCAACAATGAGTCTGTCGATACATCGACGTTGAACAAAATGATCGAGTTGGTCCTCCTGTGACCTGGGTTCGTTGTGGGTGGCACGCCCGACTTCCCAATGGGTTTGAGTAATTCCACTGGTTGTTTCTCAGTCACGGTGTGTGGGGTGTTTGGAATGGGTTTCGTAGAGGCTTCAGCGGTCGATGTCTTTGGCCATGCGCTTGACGTCCCCTGGGGCCGGGTAGGAGGTATGGAGACTTGACCTAATATGGTCCCCACGCGAGGTGGCGTGCCCACAGCTGGAGCTCTAGGTCTGTTTCCAGGTCTCTCTGTGTTATCCTTTGGTGTTAACCCTACTTTATTCGAGGATGCTGGTAGCTTTTGCGTGGCGGAGAGCATCTCCTTCAGGCTTTCTGTGCGGAGTGCGGGCATTTTCCTGCACTCTGGACAGATGTACCAGAACCACTTGCATGGTTGTCTCTTCATCAGCTTATAGTATTGTCGGGGGACTTTGGTGTCGCAGTGGCAATGCGCCCATCGTTGACATAGGTTGCATGCAAATGCCTCATCGACTACCGAAACAACTTTGGTGCAAACACTGCAGCCATCGGGTGTCGTAATACAGCCTTCCTTCCATGAATAAGGTGCTACGGATTGTGGCGAACTGCTTGTGGCTGCCTTGTTCTGAAGCCTTTTACGTCGTCTTCTATTTCAGGCATGGTATGATCCTTGCTCAAGATAGGACTAGTTTGTGACGGGCTAGTGCTACTCTGTGTCACCTGTCTGATGGCGACTGGAATTCTAGAAACATGGGTTGGCCACTTCTTTAGAAGTTCGGTGTTCTGCCCTACCTCTGTTTGTCTTCTAGTACAGACTAGTGTGTTGTTTAGGGTGTTATTGGCCGTTTTTGTGCACGACCGCGTTATCCGTGTCAAAGCTTCAGACCTAGCGTTTTGGGCAGACATGTCGCTATGATATAAACTTCTTGGGAAAACAAGTAGTTAACAACAATAAGAGGGTTGAAGACTGAATGCAGCAAAAGGACAGAATAGAAAAGGGAAGATAATTTATGTTGGCTCACCTTCAGACACTTGTCACTTGATCCTCTGCTCTTGACCAACGAGTTTAACCGTAAGCTCCAGATGCGTATGTATAACCAGGAAAGATATTTCCTGGGGAATGACCTCCGAGGAGAACCGAGAGCTAAGGCAGTTTGGCAGTTGAAACGCCCAAGAACCACTGACAGGAGGTAGACCGGTTGGTTCAAAGGAATAATAATGCCAATTTTCAACTGTTGGGAAGTGAGCCGACGAATACGCAGCGGTGAGGTGCGTGCAGGAACAGAAGTGTTGCAAACGTCCGATCTTTTTAGATTGAATATTGCAAGTGGGAGTTTTTCAATGTGGAAAAATCCAAAGGCTGAGAGATGAGCGATAACACGTCACTATTCAAGGAGCGCGAAGTCGTACCCAAGGCGAGCAGGTTTAGGTCTTCTAGTTTTTATGGGTATATCCTCTTCTTTGCCCTTGGCCTGAGGACCCCTTCAGCAACTTACTCGACGGTTTAATTAAGATTGATGCTCCTTCCCGCAGTACCGTCGCGTGGATTTTGTCTGATCCCACAAAGCTGCCTTTGGTGAGCAGTAACAATTTGCCCTGTTCTGGCTGAACGCCTAAATCAAAGATGGAGAGCCTCACTTCGTTGGCAGGATATTCGCAATCTTCTGGGTAAGTGGACGGTGGCGGAAAGATTTTTAGACACTGGTCAGCTGTGAGCTCATCTGCCTCAATATCGCTACAAGTCAGTCCTTTGGACCCTAGCTGTTTAGAGACTTCCGCTATAGCCACTGGGAACGATACGGCTGGGCGCATCAGACTACTCTGGTTGGAAATAAACATGCTTGTAAGCCCAACTTGATGCCGTTGCAGGACAGCTCACAACGCCTCTATGAGTGTGATTCTCGTCCGTCTGAACAGTTGGCATGTGTCCTCAACGCCACTACTTTTCCGTTCGGCCTAGTGGTGTCCCTTAAAAGCAAGTAGCTTGCGAGTGGAGTTGCTGATTACCTAAGGCGGCTGGAGGCACCTCAGCGATGAAAGCAGAAGACAGTGGCTGATGAAGTGCAGGATCTTGCCGAGCACGAATTTTGGCTGGATGCTAACACCCTGCCATACACATTCAACTTCCAGCGCCATCCAAAACTCTAGAGTTTCCAGTCAACCGCTGTTCAAACGAATGTTGAGAGGTCTGGTTGGATTGGTTTGCGAAAATACTGAGGGCCGACAAGAGCACGGTCGATTTCTGTCCAAAGGAGGAAGGGTTGCCGGGTTGTCAATAAAAAATTCTATCATAAAAATGCAATCTAAGCGCGATGGGGTCTGAGTTTCAATCCATCGTGTGACTGTTCCAAAATTTTCGTCACCCCCACTTCCTCAACCGGACCTCAGAGTCGGGCTTCAATGGAACCATCACTGTCGCTAAACGTATGATCTGCAAAGTTAACCTTTGGTGGGCTCAGGTTTCCTAGAATTGTGATGACAGATCGACAAAATCGGCGTGAAAACTCACACGCAGGCACATGGGCTAGGGTTGCTACACTTTACAGTAGTAGAAAAAGAATAGGTGAATAGGAAAAGACTGACAGCTAAAAACCTGGAGTAGTTTTAGAGAGTCGGCAACCTGAGAATAAGGGTTGGTAGGAATGTCACAGTTTTCGAAGACGCCAGAGGGTGAATATATCTGCACCATTCCTAACGTTTTTTAGCCATCTCACCAAGAGTTCTCATCCAACGGTTTGTACTGCCTTAAGGACCCCAGTCAAGTGGTCTACACCTCCAAACGCCGCTCAGACCTGGTTAGGGACCTCATCGACTGGTTCTAGGACGTGGTTTGGCCATTTTGAACCTTCTTCCAACCTTATTCAACTTTCCGTAGTATGACCCATAGCAGTGGGTGGTGGTTTAGTCGCCGTGTGCAGTAAGTCTATAAGGATTCGTGGTAGACTGGGGTTCATAACCTCATCAGTCGACTTCCCTTCCTCTTCCAGTACTCTTTGCCTGACTTCACGGTGGTTCCACTATCCGCAAGCAACGCTTCGACGGCATATTTGATCAAACCCTAGGAACCCTTTCATGTTATATGCTCCCAGCGCCCATATCTAACAGCCATACAATAGGGCAGAACAGACCTCAAATTATACTCATCCTCTAATAGACAGCCGGATGCCCTGCAGGCGCCCCGGGTGACATCAGTAGGCGAGGGCCATGCAGGCCTTCTGTGTCCTAGTCGAGACTACGTCAGCAGCCATCCCGTTAGGGCTGCTGCAACCCCAAAAAATGAAGTGGTCATACATTACACCACTTCACTCCCCATCGCTAAACCAGGAGTACTTGGGGCGGATCGGTTCTGGAGTATCATCTTTGGTTCGACAGGTCCAAATCGCATGCTAATATTGCTCACATTGACGCTGCACTTGTCCAGAAGACCCCGGTTGAAGAAGGTGGTCGATCGCCTCCAGCGCTCGGTGATCATGCTGCATATCAGGAGATAACTTTCAGTAAATGACTCCCACAAAGCGCTTCGTAATTTTGGACGGCCGTGTGGAGCACCATGTAGACTCCTCGAGGCAATCCGATTCTTAAATATGGGTTTGGTGGGCTGTGAGCGTAGAGCCAATTTAAAGTGCTATGTAATCCCCTCACCAGCC